CCCCCCCCCCCCCGCCACACACCTTGAAAAAGATGGGTGGCCTGATTTTGAACCCGGGTCTTTCTACCACCAAAAACAGGAATCTCTTCGTTGACATAAGCGCAGCAGAGGGAATCGTCCTGCTTGGCCTTTGGAGAGAAGCGACCACGGTCGCCTCCACAAGAAAGAAAACTCGTTAGGTATCCAGAACTCGACTGGCTTGAGGTGGGCTCACTTTTTCATTTATTTTGTAGGTGTATCACGTGGTGCGATACGCATGCATGCGTCCACATGTCCACATGCAACCCATAGATTCATCAACTTGCAACATTCCACAAAATCGAAAAAATCTGTTTTTCTTAAAAGTATTCTTCTGCTATTGTATTGGTAAACGTGGGTGGCGGAATTTGAATCCGGGTGTTTTGCACCTAATCAGACATCTCGCCACGGACGGAGACGCAACGTGAATCATCCTCGACTGCGATTTGGGGAGATGTGACCAACTGTCGTCCACAATAGCTATAGTCTATACTGCTGCGCTGTAAATGTATCATCGGGCTGACCTATTGAGGGCCGAGGAGATGTCGACCCATGTTCATCAATACGATACATTCTGGCTCCACACATCACACCATGCAATGGAGACTACCAATGATATGTCCGCACCCCGCCACATACGCAAAACATGCGCACCTCCTAGGAATATCCACCCAACTTCGTTGCTGCCCGGCAGGCAGCGTTGCCTTCACTCGGGCATCGATGCCGGCGACAACGCTCGGCGTTATCCCGAGAACCGAAGGGATGAAAAGCAGCGCGCGAAGCAGCATCATCGATAGCTAGGTTTTCGGGGGTGAAATCCTAAGCCTTGCTACGCACCACAGTAGGCCGACGCGCGGTGGGTGGTGGTTGGCCTTTGTTATGGCGATTGTCGACATCGCCATGCACAACGGACTGAGAATTGGCGGGGCCCCCAAAGCACTTGCTTTATACTCCATGCACATTAATTTTGCATACGCGGCACATTTAATTTACGTCGTTCACGTTGTTTTGAGATCTGAAAAGATCATAGTGTATCGAGTTCCACGTACTATTTTGCACCCCACCTGTATTCCTTCTGTGCGTATGTACAGGGTCAACCCACGAAACCCGGACGAAACCTGGCAGCTGGTGCTGTGGATCCTCGATCACGTGCGCACCTGTGGAGTGGTGTCCTATGTTTTCGTCGATCATCGCGGAGCCCCCAATTGTCTTGCCGCGTCACACATGACCACCCGTGAGTGGTAAGAGTGATCACTGCTCCCCACGAGCTGTAGGTTGAGGAGGACACAGACGGGAAAGGGAGAGAGGTAGAGGTCTACTAAGGCGTTGTCCTGCTGGGTCTGTTTCTTGGCCGAAGAGTTTGGCCTGCAGGTGCCGGGTTCGAGAAGTACCTGGCCTTATTTTGAAACGCGTTGGATACTGCTGTGCTTCCAGGGCGAAAATGGCAATGCCTGATCTCCAAGGCGTGTGGGAGACTGCTGTGAGGGAGGTAGCTCTGGAAGGCAGCAACGGGTGCACGCTGGAACGCCTCTGGAAGCTTGTACAACTGCACAGGCCAAGCCAGCAGGGTGGGTCTGGGTCTACACCGCAGCAACCGGGCGAGGAACAACCAGACGACGACGGCAGTGACCCACGAGAGTTCGTCAAGGCATGGCTGTGGAGGTACACACCATGATTGTACGCATGTGTTGGGGCTGTGCAAACGAGACAACCTTCTCTGATTGATCGCACTTGTGAAAGGCTGACGATCACAGCAGTGATGGTGTTGTATCATTTCTAAGACATGTTCGATATAGTCATCTCTTTGAGTCCACGAACAACCTACTGGTGGACCAAGACAAAATGAAAATCCGATGTACCGTTCAAATCTAATTTTGGTACGGCGAAGTTCAACACCAGCGCTCGTGGACGAATCAAGTTGTGGAGTTCGATCTCCGAGTGCTCATCTCCCCACGGCTATTCCTTTTTTTTTCCATGCCCTGACTTTCCAGAGGATCTTTTCAGCTTGATACATCCCTGTTTGCTGTAATCTTATCTTTCGACCGGTGATACCGCTGCAAAAATCAAAGTTGTGTTCTCGCTTGTCTCTCTCGTACCGACTTGACCGTCAGCCCCGAACCACTGCTGTACTGTAGATGCATGCATTGCCCACGTCTCGAACGGTGCTTCACCCGTGCTTTGGACAGCGCCCGTACTCGTGGATCGCCTTTGTTGTTTTGCCCTCCAAAATCGCTACACACCGCACGAAGTCCCCGGGGCGATTTCTGCTAAGGCAACAGCAGTCGTTCCCTCGTTGTTACGTGCTGTGTTCCTGTTAACAAAAAAATACCGTTGTGTTTGATGCGACGTTGCACTGGTTTCCGTAGCACGTCACGGTCTGTGGGAATCGCGCGTCCTCAAGGGGAAATCATGGGGCAGGATGTTTCTTCGTTTGGGTAGAAAAACAAACCGCGCCTTGGAGGAAATTTTCTGGGGTCCATTTTTTTTTAGGTGTACCCCCCCCTCTTTTGTGGGGGAAGTTGGTTTGCGACCACGGAAGGCGTCCGCGTCAGTTGGACCAATACGGACATTAGAAGTTACTGAGCGGGAACCGGAACGGTTTTTGATGTGAAGACAACAACAACAACAACAACAACAACAACAACAACAACAACAACAGCAGCAGCAGCAGCAACAGCAACAGGGGGGAGTGATGCGCAAGGTGTAAACCTTCATTTCAACTGTGAAGACACTAGTTTTGTGCCAGGTTGTGTCCGCCTTCGACTCTAACGGGTACAGCACCAAGCGCTAGTGTTTCCCGTCCCTCGGGGAATTTTTCCAGCTATGTCCAGAACACAGTACCGGCAATTACCGGTCATGAGGTGGCCGAGTAGGCAAAAACTAGAAAATGATTTTTCTCGGGTTATTTCTTAGCCACGGGCCCCCTCCCATCATATTCCGTGTTGTGGTTCTCCTCTCCTTTCACACGACACACACATGGCAGACCGCCATAGCAACACACCCCCAGACACGCAGACCGCCACCACGGCAGACAGACGATTGGGATCTTCCTGTTTGGGATCGCTTTCGAACCCCCTCATTCTTGAGCCTGATGCCGAAGGCCGCGAAACGCTTGTTGCGTTTTTCACCATCACCAAAGCGGGTGCAGGGCAACAACAATCCAAGTGACGCGTAGGCTCTGTGACAGGTCGTTCGCGGGCATGAACCCAGAGGCTGGCGGCCGCACACTTCGCGGGCATGTCCAACTGCCTGAGGTCTTCGCCAGAGGCCAAGGCTCTCTGCAAATTTTGTGACAAATATTTGAGACATCAAGTTGCAAACGAATGGTAATCACAAACTCGAAAGTCCATTGTTGAGAATTGCACCCAGACTACTCTGTAGAGCGAAAACGAACGAGCGTTGTCGAAATTCCCGGGGACGAGCGGTTTCTTGCCTCGTCTGTTTGGTTGCTACCGGTAGGATACGGGATCGGTTCCGGGTTAAGGGCATCCCTGATTTTTCTGCTTGACCGACCTTACATACACCCCGCGGTGGACTTTGGTCATACCTCCCTTGGGTCCCGCTCTTTATACAGACCTAGCTGCTTCTGATGCTGCCGTCGTTGTTGGTGATGATGTGTGCAGCTGTTTGATGAGGATGTTTCCCTTGGGAAACGGGGAACATATCCCGTTCGCCGGCCATCTGACGAGATACGGTGTCCATGTTGCCCTCTTGCAGATCTATCGTGTCGCGGAGGGGTAGGGAGCTTTTTCTTGCCACGTACAACGACCAAGGGGTAAGTGAGGGCAGGACCTTCGCTGCGCACCGCTGCTTGCTGCACCTAGTTTCGGGCTTCTAACGGGGCTGTTGTATCGAATCTCTTTCTTAACACGCGGCACTGCTGCGGCTGCTTGTCGCCGCCTACTGTACGTACGCAATCATGGTGACCCGGGTCGGCAAAGCAGCCTGAAGAGAAAATCATGATTGGTGGGTGGACCACGCGGAAACGATGTAGCTGCAGGTGCTTGTACAGCTGTCTCCCTGGCGTTCACCCGATGGTGGGAAAACAAAACATGGTCGCCATCCCGCGGGTTTTCTTGCATTCGCCACTTTTATTCTTACGCCACTGCTACCTTTCAAGGGCGGGTTCCTAACCCTGTATTCCCTACTGTAGCCCTAGAAGCAGCGTGCTGTGCACGACTGGTCTTGTATGGGGTTTGGCACTGCTGTTGCCCTTTCGCCGTTCGTCTTGCCGTGCGTGTTGAGTAACGAACCAGGGAGGTACCAACAATTACCGTAATTGCGCCACGTGTTCAGGAATCCAACAACCTCAAGCGCGGCGATCCCGAGGACTCTCGATTAGCGGCGATCAAGGACATTCCCACCCTTGAACAGGAGCAGGTGTGTGGTTTGACGCGGGGGTATGAACGGCGAAGGAAAGAGACAGAGGTTGGGACTGATGGACAGACTGCCAGGCAGGCAGATAAGCAGAGATCAAGGAAGCAACAGAGAGAGACAGCAGCGAAAGAAGTATGAACAGAGAGACAGAGGGCCACGCGAGGGTCTCAAAACGCTGCACTCGCACTTTGTGGGGATCAGCGCGCAAGAGGGCGTGTCCTTGGTCGTGTGCTCTTGTTTCCCCTGTGGAAACGATTGGAACAACACGCGGACACGATCCCGGTGGCGTATGATTGCTCAGTTGTTCCCGCAGGTCTGGTAGAATTTCCATGCTTACATTTTCCACGGCAACTTCTGTGGTTCAGGTGCAACTCGTGTACCCGCATGCAATAAGCTCGTATATTCCAGCCACACCTTGGCGTAGGGCCTCGGTGGCGAGGGCGGGATGGGGTAGAGGCACGATGTGTTTTTTAGCGTTCGGCTTGTTTGCGGCGGGGGAAGGTGACAGAGATGTCAATTCCGAGATTATCGGGACGCAGCAGTAAGATGGAGGAGGCCCTTTCATACCGTTAAAAACTCGTGTTGTTTTTCAGCCTTGCTCAGCGAGCGGCCTGCCTTGATGGTGAATACGCGAGCAGCCCGTGCCGTCAGTGATTGAAGATATTGCTCTCAACGGATACGGCCGTCCTTTCAGCTCGATAACCATCGTGGTCCACGCGATGCTCCGTCGAAACGCACAGATTGGTTCGCCCTGTCGCACGCGCAGTCACTCGTCGTCGTGTGTGTCCTTACCGGTTTTGCTCCTTTCCTGCAGAGAAGCGTGGGCGTCGTGGCGTCGAGGCCGGTGCGGCTGCGAGCCCTGGGTCTAGACACAGCGACCCTGAAGAGCGTCACCCTTGTTAGTCCTGCCTACCTTCAAGTGCTCGAGGTGTGATTGCTCCTCTTACTGTACACGATGATTGCTGTTTTTTCGTTTATACCACGGTCAATCGAACATCTGTCCTGGTTGGAAGCCTTTTCACGACGAGGGGTCTTTCGTCACGCAGACAGGGCGTGGCAATCCGTTCCGCGTTGCTTTTGCGGTAGCCCGTCCTTCCTTACGGCCATGCGGTTCATCCCATGTCCTCCCCCCTTCACCCTCTTGTCCAAGAAAGAGCTCCGCTGTTTGGAGCCTTGCTTGTGCTCCTGCGAGAAACGATTTTTTTCTCGGTTGTGCCTTGTGATGTACTCGCTTGCGGAATACTCTGGCGGCCCAGTGGGTGCGTTCGTATCGGTGCCAAGTACCACATTCGTGCACGAACAACTTACATGGAGCGGTATCACCCATCCAACGTTACGCTAGGCACGGCCGATGTACACGGTGCACAAGGCCGTGCCGATTTATGTTTGTATGATAACTCTTGTCTCGGCACCAACAACCTTGGGTAGGCAAAGTTTTTTTTTTTTCTTGAGTGATGTTTTTGTGTTACCACAGGTCGTGGGACGGCACCGCGGATGGGGGGCTTCGACTTCCGAGGTGTTGGACGGCGTTAACAGGATCATCGGCTCCGATAAGAAGGACGACTACGTGAGTGCATGGTAGACAGAAAACTACAATGCAATAGAGAATAGAAGAAACGTACACTGAAACAACAGACAAGATGGGGTCCACGATACACTGAAATCAATAGGGAAGAGAACAAACGCGTATTGGAACCGCATACAAGACGCGGTAGATGGTAAACTGAAACAATAGGGGAGGAGTGGTCGAAGAGAATCGCTACAGGCGTAGAAAAAACGCGTTTTTCAACCTTGTCAACAAGGACACGTTCCGCGCTTTTCCCTGCGGGTCCCCAGAAGCAGGCCGTTTGATAAGGGACTTTCAGCTCTCTTACGAAAGGATTTGACGTCGGAAGCTAACCAAACTACTGCATTGTCCAAAGAATGCGCCAGAAGGGGGAAGACTAACGTCTGGAGTAATATTTGGCGGCAAAGTCACACATTCGATCGACCTTCTTCAATGAAGACTAAAAGTTTTGTGAGTTGTAAGCCTCCACCATTATCCCGGCCACGAATCAAGGACAACACCATATGTATGGTTCCAGAGTATTTTCCTCGCACCCTTGATTTAATGTTTATACAGAGGTAGGTGTTGAGTCCCACACACACTCATTCCTCATATCATGTAGCTTCTTCTCTGCCTCTCCTAGTTCCTGACTCACTTCCTTTCTCCTGGTCTTCCGTGCGCTCTCACCCCCCCCTCCCTCTCTCGCTATCTCTATCCCTCTCCCGTGGCTAACAACACTTCTCTCAAGGTCGAAGTCGTCACTACTCAGACGTCCAAGTACCGTGTCCCCAACAAGACTCGGGAAGGGTCCTTCCTAGGGAGCCAGCGCATTAACGCGATGCAGCTCTACCCGGTCTACGACAGGCTGGTGAGGATGAAGCAGCGAATAGGTTGCCCGCTCACTCTTCACGGGAAATCATTGATCTAGCATGGGATGCCACGCTACACCCGCTGAACCATTCCGTCGCTCAGTCTCTCCACGGGGAAGGGTTTTCTTGCTCTGCGGAACCCTTTAGGTCCATGTTTGGGAAGAGTCCGTGCCGAAAAGGATACCGAACCCCGCTGACGCTATCACGGTGGCAACCATCTTGAAAGCAAGAATGTAGAAAACCCTTTAAAGCGCGCGCAAAACAAAGCGAACGTGGGGGGGGGGGGGGCAGATACGCCGCCTACGGCATCTTCTTGCGACCAAAGCCGCAGTATGATTTTTCGAAAGTTCTTGTGCATCTGAGAAGAGCGTTTTCCGGGCACCGCACCGACGTATGTACGCGCATGTAATATCACGGCCGCTTGTCGGTCATTGGGGGTGCATGCCTATTGGTGAGGGTACCCTAAGGCGGAACGCGTTCGTTCATTTCGCCGGCGTGTCGAATACACGGTCGTATTGTGATGCTTTCGTCACTGACTGCTGCCGCTGCTATTGCTGCTGCTACTGGTGCTGCTGCTGCTATTTGCTGCAGCTGTGCTGTAGCCGTAGTGATTGGTTGATTGCGTATGACGCAGCACCACTCGCGCAAAGTTTCTCGATAGAAATACTGCCATTTTGCTGGACGCAACACGTACCAACTTGGCGAAACAGGCGTCGACGGGACTTATTTTCAAGAGCGTCGTGCAGAAGCCGGCTACCGGTAACGAGGAGGACGGCGAGCAGAAGGACGGAATGTTCCGTTTCGTAGTTTTGTACCTCAAGCGCTTCAAGGACTCAATCCTCGTTCCCCCAGGGACCAAGCTAGAGGTATGGAATTGCCACGACCCTCACCACGCAGCTCCGTAGAGCCGTCTCATGTGCAAGTCTCGAGATACTTGTTTCTTGCCTTCAAGGTTGGAAAGAGCACTCTCTCTCGCGCGCGCTCGCTCTCTGGCGAAAATTATGTGCGTGCGTCAGGCAGTCATTCTTCTGAGCACTGCTGTGGCTGTTTGCTGTCATATTAGCCACTCGGAGACCTTCGTACATCGCTCGAAGCCTACCTCGAAGTCCTGCGCCGTTCCATGCTGCGGATGTTCACGCCTATCCGTCCACCGAATATTATACGGGCGTGACCCACTTGTCATCCCACCCCCCAACAACTATCCTGTGACTCACTTTAGCCCACGGCGAAGGAGGTTTTCCTAGAGATGCTCGTGGAGCACTTGCTGGAGGCGGGGGGCTCGGGGGGCATCGTGCCGTGGTACAACATCCGGAAGGACCTCTTCCTCGACAAGGTGCGGACCAACGCAATGTTTCAAGTGCAAGCGCTCGCGTTTTGATGCCATTTCGATGCCTCGGGTCGTTGTCTGAACACGGTGTCCCACGCGTGCGGTTTCGGATGGCACGAGTGTCGGCCTTGTCTGTTGGTTGTATTTCTACGGCCCTTTCCCCTCTCCAAGGGAAGTATGTGGCCATCCCACACTCACATGGTCGCATGGGCGCAGGAAACGGCGGAAGCCATAACCCCCCCCCCCGCGCTCTAGAGAGAAATGACACGGCAGGGTTAAGAGATTGGGTACACGATAGATGGTGAACGAAGGACGCCTTTTGAGGTGCGTGGAAACGCGACCGAGGATAGGGATAATAGTAACCGCGCCTATTATCTTTATGGATTTCGTCAAATAGCTGAAAATAGAAGCTCGGGTTTGGGGGCGGGGGTCGGTAAGGAACGGGGAGATACGTGTCTGTAGCTGGGCAGAGGATAAGCAGGCTGCAAAGGTATGCCCTTGTGTCGAAGCGGGATAGAGCACACTCTAATGTCGGGGTCCTCTATTCGTATGTAACTCCGCAACGCCCGACTAGTAACCGTCGTGCTTGCCTGTGGTGCTGGGCGGTTCGCAGAATGCCTCTGGAAGGTTGAGGAACTTCCTCAAGAAGGAGAACAAGATTCCCAACTTCCCCATCAGGATCCAGCTGCTGGATATCCGCGCCATGGACTACGTTAACAGCAGGAAGGGCCGGCGCCTCGAGTGGTGTGTGTCTCTCAAGGTGAGAGATGAAGGAGAACCGTGTTTCCAGCTTTGTGCCCAAAACTTTGTTTTACTTCTTGTTNNCCCCCCCCCCCCCCTCTCTCTATCTCTCTATCTGTCTGTCTCTGTCTGCCTCTGTGGCGGTCTCTCGCTCTCCCTGCGTTTACAACGAATAATCGTGAAACGAGTAAGGTGATGCGTGCCGAAGTAGGGCCTCCCCTTGGCACGCCGTGGTCGACGTAGTGCAGGCCAAAGCTAATTCCCTGCGGGTGTATGTGCCGCCGTCTGAGGAACTATTGTAGCTCAAACGCAATTATTTTCCATTCTGACACACACACACACACACACACCCGATCGTTTGGAAGACACCCGCGTAACTTGCATACCCATGACTTCTTGCTGTTAAAATGATGTTGTCGTTACTGCTCTTGCTGCTCTTGCTACTGATTGGGGCAGCATTCGAGCGAACTTGAGCCTCCCGCGTTGAAGCGTCCCTACGGCATCAGCCTCGCCCGCTCCATCATGGGCATAGTCAAGAGCAGGGGCGAGGACGGTGCCAATGTCGAGGCAATGCAGTGAGTCCCCCATCCCTGTCGCGTATGCCTTCGCATTGCGTACGCGTTCTGACGGACTTCCTCCCGTGTTTCCCCGGCAATGTTGGCGGACACGCCGCCTACTTTCGCGCCCACCACCGCCACAGACGGTTGCTAGCCCGGCGTGTGCTTTTTTCGCGATGAAGTATGATTTTTCGGCTCACCCCACATGTTCGTTTCACCAGAGCAGCTTTCCCCAATCAGAGCGGGGGTCACGCAGAAGACTCTCTACCTGACACCCCCCGCCTCCCCGCTGCGGGGTGCTTGCCTGTCCCTTAGATTTTGTATCCGGAGTATTTTCAGCGGCCCTCTGCTCGGTCGAGTGTTGCGCAGCAGCGAGCAAGGGGCGTTCCAAGAACGGCTTTCTGTGTTTTTCAGCCGGTGGTCTCACACAAGTCTGTTTCTTTCGCGTGACGGTTCTTTGTTTGCCTGGCGCTTGCTTGGGGGGGGGGGGGGGGG